ACGTCACCCAGTAAATGAACAGTGGAGGTGCGCAGATACGGGTGTACTTTAAACAGTATGAAATGTATCTATACACAGTGTTTAATATGGTTGAAATTATTTTATGGGAAAATTGTATTTCATAAAAAGAGTCAGGACTTAACATTATTTCAGGGGATAGAAGGCTGAAGATAATCGAACAAAGGTAAGTGCAAAACTTTGAAAAAGTTTTGTTTTGTAGGCCATGTCAGGAGGTACCTAGCTTTAAAACACAGGTATGCATGAAGACCTTTAAATCTACGCACATAGCTATTTCACAATTCTGGATTTTACATCGTAAGAAGATGTATTGTCTATTTTTTATAGAAGAAGCATGCATTTTTTAAATTAATTTTATGTTTTTACTTGTTACTTTGTCTTCGGTGAGAAAGCGTGCTTTTTTTATTTTTACAAGTTTATTTTCTGATAAAAATAATATTAGAATATCTAGGTCACCAATATGTCCTTGTTTTATTGAAACTGGTGTTCTACTTCATAGATAAAACTTATTTTGAATTTCTCACTTTTCCATGTTAAGAAGTGTTTCTGTGGAACTCGGAAGAAAATTCTTCCTGTTTTTCAGATAATACTCGTAAAAAGGGTTATTTGGAAGAAAACTGTCAGACTGTTTACAATATACGTCTTGATAAATGTAAATTAATGCAAATTAAGCAATTTTAGCATATACATTAAAGATTTTTTGCAATGCAAGCAAAACCCCATTAAAAGGCTTACATTAAATTTGTTCGCAGTTACCTAAAATGATCGATATAAATTTCATTTTAATGTGTTTAGATTATTGAAAGAATATTAACTTAAAATGTCAGGAAGGCAATTATAAATAATGGAGTAATTACTTTTTAACACAATTAGAGAAAATATACTGTGCTAAATATCTTATCGTTATATCACATTTTTAGATCGAATAAAAATTACTTTGAAACTTATCCTTTGTAAAGCTGTGTTATAATCAAATAATAGCCTCCTCTTTATCAATCATTTCAAGCCAAGGTTGATTATCTTTATCATTTTAAACGTCTTGGCGCCATACAATACAGGATTTGGTTTAGGCATGTTGGATAAATATTTTTGAGATTTTTCTATCTTTAGTCATGGAAATTTCATAAGTTAAGTCCCATCAGATTCAAAAGTTTATGTTTTGCATCTCAAAGCAGTCAGAGCACAGGACGTTTTTTTCTGGAATTATTTCTTCATTGTATTAAATTATTAGGATTGTTGGCATATGTGCTATGAACAAAGCTATCCATTTTCGAATAAAATTATATTTCTATGGCACCTTGTATTTGTCATGTATGACATACCCTCAGCAAAATAGCAACGACAAAACTGATCAGCAATGGATAGTTGGATTCTTTCCCAGTATTACAAACTGATCTTTATTGTCTTGAAATTTTCGAACACAATCGTTATCAATTACTGGCGGGATAAAAACAAAAAAAAATAATTGGTTCTTACAAATGAGATGTTTTTAAATACAAAAAAGATCTCAAAGTTTGTGGAAGTCAATTATTACATGTTAAATCTTTTATAAAACAACGCAATACCATGCTCTTTATTTGAAGATCTAAAATACAGCTTTATAAGAAAACAATGCAATTGCTTTATAGTACATGTATTTGATCAAACTCAAATGTTTAATTAGTAGACCATGAATGACGTTCGTTACTTGAGAGTAGTTTTGAGGAAAGTTTTAATAATATAAGATTTTATTGCATTGATCTAACTTGGTCGAAAATTGAAAAACACCATCTAAGAACATATGAAATGTTTCTGAAAGAGAAGGTAAGACGATACAAGGACATGGTACAGTACATTGAAAGACTCTTGTTTCATTTGGTGAAAGTATTTCCTGTTCATTATAATAAGGGGTCGTAAAAGTGGTATTATAATTGATGCATTGTCCTGTTTTCTGATTCTAGATACTATTTGCCGTATAACCCCAATATAAACATCTTTATTCTATGCAATTTTATCATACCTCTGTCCAAAGAACAATAAATGGGGAAGGAAGAGACAATTTGTTTTTGATTCACGTATTTTGTACTACTAGTCCCCAGCATTTGAAGTATTTGGTATTTGAGCAAAAAATATGTGCTTTCAAGCTTATGACTAGACCAATATTAATTATCTGAAAGGGTAAATCAAAGGTCACATTAAAAACTTCGTTGCATTTTTTTGTTCTTGCCACAAAAATGACAAGCTCTGAAAGTACATACTTTGCACTTTAAATATTTTGTTTGAGTAACTTCCTGACGGTGACTGAGGATCATGTCTTCGAGAGACAAATTCGGTTAACATTAAAAATGGGATATGCTCGTGGATTACTGATTTTTTTCTATACAATGACATTGTCAGCAAATATAATCGATCATCAAGTCAAATATCAACTGACATTTTTCACACTAATTCCGTTGTTTCGCGATCATGACAAGGAGCAAACTGCAGGTGTGATCGGTCTGCAGGGGATGCTCACTCCTTCATGGCACCTGATCCAACCTCTGATGTTTTGGAGGTCTGTGTTTGCTCTACCCCTGATTGGAATTGTTAAAAATGGATTTTTGAACTGAAATACTATTCTTTATTTACATATACATATATTTAATCTTAAACATTTTTAAAAATCGCTGTTATACACTGTATAAGACTTTAATGTTATATTGTTATATATTTTCTAATCGATATAATAGACTTGTTGGGGAAAAATACCAATATATTTTTCATTTTTGATAAACTACTCTTGATAGTTTTGTTTTTAACTAGTAAATTGTGATATTGTTCTGAAATCTGATGGTCATGTTGTCTCCCTGTAAAAAAAAATTCCATTTCTTGGTTAAGAAAATCTATTTACGAGATAAGTGCTTGAGAAATGTAGGGGGTGGCCTAAATATTGCCCAATTTTTGTCTCATTGTTGTTGGTAAACAGCTCTTTGGCAGGCCTATCCCGAGGACTGTGAAAAACCTGTAAAGAGATGGCAATAGAATTTATGAGATAAATTCCCTTTTCAAATTCTGACAGTAAACATACCCTTTTGTAAATTGATCTATTTATTCATAAGGACTTTTAATAATTGCAAAACTCAGAGATTATATGGCTTGGTTACCCTTGAACGCATTTTATCTGCATGCAAAGGCAATGATATCAGTATTTACACATATTTTTTTTCAAGTGATGTAAGATTATATGTTGTTATAGATAAGGGTCTGGAAAATAAATTGTTTAAAAAGAAAAAAAAAAGTATTTACACATATTTCAGGAAAGTGCAATATGTAGATCAATTAACCCAAAACTTACCCAGACTTTATTTATTTTTTTGTGATCACGTGCTTAGTTTTATTAAAGGTGCATTCTTCATTTCCACGAATTCGAATCTAAAAATAGAAGACATATATTGAGATGACTTCTTTACAATTCAATTACTTTTAATTTTCAAAAATCTATATGCACCTGTTAAAAACTTTGTTTATGAATTGAAGATTAAGAATTCAGTAGTTTATGGCTAAATCAGAAGGATCTGACTTAGTCCTTTTGACACCATTGTAACGGGGTATTTCCAAAAGGGGAATTTTTCGACAGAATACCCGGGGATATAAAGTGTAAGGCGCTTTTGCATGGTTGAGCAGCCAAACAGTTTGAAATGAATATGTATCGGCTCTTTATTATTTCATTCATAAAAATGGGGGCTTTATTTATGAGTTTCTCCTGTATGTAATTACAAAAAATGTGCTGCTCGAAATAAATATGTTTTTTTTTAATTTAACATAATAGAAATTTGTTTGAAATTTAGATATTGGATAAGGAAATTAGACTGACCCAATAAAATAATTCCTTTGTGATTGAAATCGTTTCCTAAAGTGTAAGCAGCATGAAGAAACATCTCATATCAATTTTAGCCAAATTGTGTTTTGAATTTTTTGAGTGCTTGACACAAAGAAGTAATTCACTAATTGCAGAGTTCCTGGTCGGCGTTAACGTCAGTCGTATATCCCAGCGGTGAACATAAATAGATGGATAATACAACCGTAACTTCCAAGTAATGAATAGTGGTCTAGGACATTGTATAATAATTCCCTAACTTTCATCTAATTATAGTTACTGTAGTTTGGAAGACAAACTGTTTGTAATGGAAAAAAAAGAAAAGAAAGCCCAAACACTCATTTTTTATTTTTAGTAGGGAAATAATTTAATACCATGCATGACATGTATTTTTGTAATTTACAATACATAGAAAAACATGTCATACAAAATATACATATTCAAATACTGGGACCATCGGAACTATACGTCAATTAAAAAAAAAAATGAAGCATAAATATACACACATATTATACGTAGAACGTTTTCTGTACATCAAAAACATCCTGTAATTTAAAGTAGATTAAATGCCTATTGTATAATGTATGACAGGTCTTTTCAACATTGCATGTTGTCTTTTGAAAACAAATAAGTATCGATGAGAGCTACAATATTAATGTGAATGTTTTGGAATTCATTTGATTTGAACCATAAGAGTGACAGCTGCTTGATAACACCATTACATTTTGAACTTTAAACATCATACGTACAAGGCATGCCTGATTTCTGAATTTTTAAAGCGACACAGTTGTAAAAAGAGATTAAATAAACAACAATTTATCAACAATACTTTGTCGCGTCCTACTTTTCAAACCACGTGAAATTACAATGCTTATCTCAAAATTGGTTCAAATAAAATGCCTTGAATCGTCACCAAATCTTACCATCAGTTTTTATACAATTGTAACCTTAGTTTTATAAACATAAACATATGGATATTAAACTAAAATATTCAGTAATGTAAAACCGAATTTGTATATGATATTCTCCTTTCTAGACTGACTCGCGTGATTTTATCAAAAAGCGGTCACATATGTGAACAGGTAGAGAGAGATAGTGAACAACAATACCCTAGCCCAGCTCTTTATCACACAATACAGGATCGTTATGGAGTTTGGATTATTTGTTGTGTTAGTATCCTGGTTTGTTGACAATCACAGTAAAAGCCAAAACAGATTCTAGGATATTTTGCGGAAGCCATTTAATTAATGGTCATCATACCATTTCTGGGATATTGCTGGATATTCCCTTCTGGTCTCTACATATGCAGTTGGAAACTATTGTACTGTTGTGAAAATAAAGATGTTTATGTCACGATTTCGAAGGATTTTATGTTATAAAAAAGAAAATAGTTTAAAGGACAAGCAGTATTTTATTGCTACCTGTTGTTTATAAAACTTTTATCATACTTCTTAGTGTGTTTTATTACTGTATGGATTATAGTATGAGAACTGATTTTCTAAATAGTGATCCCGAAGAAGAGGTCATTTCCTATACAGGTACTTAAAACTGTATCATAAGTATCGATATGTCTTTGCAAACAAATCATTATTCCACTAAAATGACAACACAGTACTAATTTTGTCAATAAAATCTGGTGTGGTGATCCTCTTCTCAGATAATTATCTTTATCGATGGTTTGTTAAAAGTTACTTTTTGCCAAAATTGGCTCTCACATATTGTATATTTTCGGAGAATATATATCCACATTTTCCATCGAACGTACCCATGTTATCCCAGTCCAACTATCCGTAGCATTTTTTCTTCCTTTCATTCCTCTAATATTTTAAGCAGTATCTTATATGTCTTTCTGATTTTGATTGTTGTTGTGTGTCTTGTATATGCATTCAGCTCGTAGATTTTTCATCTTTATCTTGAGGCCGAATGAATACTTACAAAAAAACTTATTTCTTTAACTCCTCTTGTTTTGTACAAGTGGCCAAATCATCCTTCGGAAAAAGAAAACTGTGGTATTTAGGATGTTCAATAAGAATTCAGAAAAGAAATCTTTAGGACATTTTATTGGTGTTGTTCCGTGGATGTGTAATAAGATTTTAGAATTTTTGATTTTTTTAGGGAGACATATGAGGGACCCAAATATTAAGCTTGCTCTTCTTTCATTGAACACTGTTGTCAATTGATTTATCTATAATTGGAATCTGGTTAATGTTGTCCTGTGGTAGAAAAAGCTTAAGGAAATATATCTCGGAGAATATAAAAACTTAAAAGTGATTTTATTTTCTTTTTACACAAAATCTTTCTTGAACTCATTTTAAAATAATCCATGCCTTAAAATACTTTTTGAATGAAGACTGGTTATGCAATCATTAAATAAAATACATAGATGTACACAACTCAGAGGCCTTAATAGTATACTTACTCAACATGGAATTCTAAGCTCAATTTGAAATGTGAATATTATTATAAATTGTAGAATAACTATTACGCTTATTAACCTACTAGAGGTTTCGAGGGGAATGCTTTGTAAAGCAAACATAAGAGTGATAGGATTAGTACATGTATGTATCATTTAATACAATGTTTTTAGCATTTCAAAAAGTTCAAAGAAGACTGTTTTTTTTCATAGATATGGCCCGGAAACTTGACGATTTGCCTCCTTATCCTTTACATTACATACCGTATAACGCCTTGAATGAGCTGGCCGAGGTCTTTGATTCCCCGGCCGTAGATGGTCAGAGGACTCTGGAAGGACTGGCCGAGGCCATCTTCACACAGAGTGACTACACAATCAAAGTGGATCACAACAAAGTATCGGTAAGTTTGAAGGACTTTGATATCCTGACAATATTTCTTCCACATCTTCCTTTCCCCTTTTAACTTTTGTAGTACATTATTTCAGATATTGCGATCTCGCTGTACTTCTGGAGAGAGTCCAACAGTAAAGTTTATCCGTGATCTTGCTAAATTCAAAAATGCAGATCTTCGAATTTTACAAAGGGCAATCTGCTCCCTTGAAACCCACGCAGACGACATATTGGTGAAGTACTTGGGAGGTCAGTAAATAAGGTTTTACATGTACATTACATAATTGACATATATACCATGAAAGTGATAATATGACCTGCAGTTGGTTAAATTTTTTAACATTTGTCTTTCATATAGAAATTGAACGGCGATATAAAATGGAAAAGATGCAACGAGCTCCGATTCCCCTGGATAATTCGTCACAACATGATTGCAATTGTTATGAGTGCTCTGACAATGGAACATTCGGAGCCAGTTACTTACCTTCAACTGACTGTAACTTTGAAAATCCGAGACAAAAGCCAAATTGTAGAATTCCAGATTGTGCTCACAGTGAACCAAAACAATATAATTATCGTCGCAAACAGCCTAATTATGCAAATAGATTGCGTATTCCATCTCATCATAATAATTTTGAAAGTTACATAGGATACCAAGCTAATTCTAGCGTGAGTGAAATTCAAAATGATGAGGTGAAGACTCCTGTAATGGAGAATGAAAGAGAACCCTTTTCAATGAATCTGTTTGGCAATGGCCCGGAACTTTTGCCTCCCGCACACTTTAACCCTATTCCTCCAAGTGATTATGAAGGGGATGAAAGTGAAAATGATGATAGTACATTTTTCTCTGAAAAGAAAACTCAAAATGAAAATATTCTGAGGCAAAAAACAATTGTGCCGACAAGACGTGTCCAATCAATGCCCGAGGGTTCAGAACAGGAGAATACAGATCCCGAACGGAGACATTCACATCCTGTTTTCAGGAAAAAAGGTCGAGGAAAGAAAGATTGTGAAAGTGATGGAGACATTCCTAATATTCCTGATGCCTGTACATGTTATAGAAGTCCTGTCATCAACATAGGTAAGTCCTTAGTCTCTCTCTCCTTCTTTTTCTTCTTCTTCTCCACAAACTGTGTGTCTCTCTTTCTTCTTCTTATATACAACAATGGGTGGTTGCTCCACGACTACAGGAATTTGTTTTTAAACTAAGAATGTTTTCATATTTGTTCCTAGGGGCCAGGACTGTCTTTGTATCTTTGGCAGATGATTCTAAACATCACATCAAGGAAGTGCTTACTATGTGTACCAAACTTCAGGAAGCAGGTTTTGAGGTGAAATGCGATATGATGGAATCTTTATTTACAGAACAAAATATCAATGTTAATGAATGGCTAGACCAATGTTTCACAAGAGCGCTCTTTGTGATTTTTTGCATATCTCCCAAATATTTCAAACATATTCGTATCGACGATTTGGCAGAGGCCCATGCGAGTGACAATAAGTTTCACACAAGATACATCTTTGACAGAGCTCGAAGTGAATTTATTCAAAATAACAGTATGAACAAACGTTTTCTACCAGTACTTTTCCGCAACTCTGGTGCAAAACTTGAGCATATTCCGGAATTTTTAAGGTCAACCATAAGGTACGTGTTTCCAGACACTTTTCGACATTTAACAGGATTCTTACAAAAGCAGTGACTACGATTCATTTGTTGGAACGTTTAACATAAATCGTGAATAAGTTGAACTATAATGAGGAAATATATTTATGATAACTATGTAACGGTTACTGCTTGTATATTATCCTCGTCACTCAACATGTTGTACATGTAGATATGTAAATACACATATTGTACAATGTATAAATATCCATTCACGTTATATCACCAGTATTGTTGATTACTAAGAAAATATGTGAGTTATTCATGAAATATTTTATGTGTTAAGTTTTAATGTAATTATATGGATCTTTGAAGATATAATTGATTAAAATTCAAGAAAAATATTTTTCATTGTGAATTTTTAAATATTCTAATATTTTAGTCATTCGAGCAAATTGCATAAGGAAAGGTTGTCAAATGTTTCAGGTTTTTTTTTTTCAGTTGAATTGATTGCCGAATGTTAAATCTCGTCAAGTATAAGAAAGACATGTTTATACTATCATATCGCGGTCCTCTCATTGTAAAACCTTTGAGTCATTTGTGTTAGCTTTGTTTTTCTTTACCAGTGGCAAAAGTACCATATCGAATTGAACTTAAGAAGAAAACTGACACGTTTCAAGTCTTTATAATGGTTTATTGGTGGTTATGGCCACGGCTTCACTCACAACGGCAAAGTACAAAAACTGTCAACAGTTTCAATGTGAACCCTGGGATTAAATGAACACCCGGAATTAATGATCATGTTCTTTATATACTTTTTGAATAAAATAAATTGAGAAGTACAAGTGAGTACTAATGGTTAGCCGATTATCCGCTCACTCTAGGGATCAGCAGTTGTGACGGAAAGGATTGGCTCTCATGGTAGGATTTCAATCTGAAAAATATTCAAAATCGAAGCCAAAGACGCTTGGAAAAGAAATTTCTTCAACTCTTACAATATATAATAAAAGTAGTTTGAAAAACCCAAGTTCTATAAAATTTGTACGAAAAAATATAATAAATAAAAGTATGAGGCTAAAAATTTCTTTCTTTCAACGCGTCTAAATATCAAAATCTGATGAGACCATTAAATTCAAAAGAGATTTTAATCAGATCTGAAAACCTTAAATATTTTTAAAGATAATAGAATTTACCAGCCCTTGAAGCAGATATTCTTATTACGATCATGAATCAAAAGTAAACAGATGAAAAGAAAATAAATCCTGAGCAATATTTTATAAAACTTTCGAATTCAATGACGTTTGCCTTTTTTGATATTCAGGCTGTATGGTCTGTGTTTTATTTATATGAACACGTTATATAAGTCTTTAAAAGTTGAAATATAATATCTTATACAATTGTATAGTGTAAGGAATTCACATGTATGGCATCTTTTATCATTTTCTATCACTATTTTGTTGAAGAAAGACCTAATATCTTGTAGACAATCATATCTGATCTTGGCAATACTAAAAGCTGTCTTTTCAGCGGGAGAAATTTCATCTTTGAGAGCACTTATCCTATTTCTGATCTTTCGACATGCGTCTTGATTTTTTTTAATAATTGAATAGTGATATACAAAGCAGATAGCAAATGTTCATCCACGTGAACAGGATATTCTTGATTGTTGTACCTCTGACTGGCGAACTTATATAATTTTAAGTTCAAACAGATTGTATTTTAGCAATTATTTTGCGATTGCTTATACCTCTGTAAATCGAAATCAATTTAAAAAATTTAATATTTTATTATTTAAAGAAAATATACAGGTACAAAAGTCAATGTATGGTAATGCAGAGAAAATTCGGACTAAATTTTTAATTTTTCATTTTTGTCAAAAATGTTGATTTCTTTCAATAATAATCACGAAGTAAAGGTTAAATGTATTTTTAAACATCATTTTGCAAATATTATAATATATTGAATGTTACGAAATAAAGAAATTCAAAAATATGTACAAAAACCATTCAAGACAATATATCTCAATAATTTGATCATTGACCCCATATGATATTAATACCATGAGAATTAGGGCATCAAAAGTAATCTGAGGCTATAGATAGTTTAGAGTTCTTATCAATTATTTAAAATGGTGAAAAAATATAAATAGGACAGAGGAAATACGGACTGTGATAATTATCAAGTTTATGGCCAAAACTCCAATCATTTCTTTATATGAAGCAATGCTGTTCCATTGCTATAATATATCATTATTTAAAGAGTTTAGTTGCTTGTAATATTTTGTGTGTATAGAAAAAATTGGTCATAAAGTGAAAAATTGAGGTATTTCCCGAGAAATACTCAGGGGCCACTAGCATGAAAAGTAGGTCAGTGACCTAGTTATTTGAAATTGAAATTTAACACAAGAATCATTGGTGTACAATGTGCAATAGGTGGTTTTTCCTTCTTATCAGTGGAATTTTTGGTCATCTGAGTAAAGGTATACCTTAAGAGAGTTAGCTTTACCTGGACTACCGGTCGAAAAAACATCATTGCTCATTAATGAAGGAAATAAAAGACCTTTTATGGGGTTGTCATTCTATTGAATATGAATATCTACTTCTAAAATTTGTATATCTTACTTCGAGTTTAATATTAGATTCATTCCCTTTATCTTACCGGTAGTTATTTAATTAACTCACCACTTCATTCCACATTCTCTACGATCAGTGACTAAAACTTCAAATTCAGTATTTATTATTTGATTGACTGTCCTTAGTAAAAAAAAAAAACTATGTATATCTGTTTGGGATTGATTCTACAGTTATCTTATACATGTTATATATATTACATACACATAAACAATCTGCTTAGAAGCTGTTCAGTGGTCTACGTGCAGAACAAGCTGGTTTCAATGGCCTGCCAAGAAAATTTCTGGGACACTCTCACGGATTGTGCCACTACAGGGAGTCTGACACTTTGTTTATATACCGTGATTTAAAAAGAAATTGCAGATAGTTTAAAAGCTAGGTATTGGGAAACCTCTTAAAAGAAGTCTATACTCCAGAGAGATTTACCATTCGAAAAGGTACCATCAATTCTCAATGGCAGTGGTAAATGTTAAATAAAAAAGACCTTTTTCATATCTTGTGATTCAATTTGATATTTTACAAAAAAAATATGTCCCTTTTGAAATCTATTGAATTATCAATTCATTTCAGATTTGATAAATGTGTATATTCACACTTAAAAAAGGACACTCTTTTAATTATTAATCTATAAATATGTATAGAATATATAATTTCATTCCGATTTTGAATTTTAAATTCTCATAAACGTTCACCTTTACAAACATTAATGCTTAAGCGCTATTTTATTTTCAACCCCATGGGTTGAGAGGACTAAATAAAAAAAATTACCTTTTGCAGGATCAATAATGTATCTGTAGGACAAAGAGCATTTAGACTAACTTCAAGTGCTTTTTCGTCTTAGAGATAACACAATTCTTGTAAACCTTGCATGCTTTGTTTGTATTGTATAAAGACATAATTTGAATGTTTATTTATCTGTAATACCACAAATACGAGTTGTCTAGTTTTTAGGACATTAAATCTGATAAGCCTTTTATACTTCCACTGAGTAGAAGCTTAATATATCTGGAAACAATGTCTTTAGAATCTCATCTCTTGTCAAATGTTTTTTGAAGAAAATTTCTTGAAACTTTTACAACAACTAGGTCAACGAAAAATAATTTGCGTCAATTAAATTTAAAAAAACTAAACTAAAACTAAAAGAATTTTCTGCAGATAACGAAAGGAAGAAATCAAACTATCGTTTTATACTGCATATACATATAGGTGAATAGATTGCAGGCAGAAAAACTTTTTAAAAAATGAATGAAATGATCATGCTCATATTGTACATGCAATGTGATTACAGATGCTTATCTTATTAAAAGCAACAAATTATTTATTTACAAGAGTACTTTTAAGTGCTGTCCTTTTCTTGTCTCATGTTCTATTCAATATTAAAAATCTCTACATTATATACCCTCAGCAGAGCAATCGTTGGATAACCGGTACCTACCCCAGCCCAAACAAATCTAATTGAAGGTCTACGATAAATTCAAATTGAAACTTGAGGGTCTAAATGACGTGACCTCAAACAAAAATCCCAGACCCTGATTTACAACAGGTGTTGTCAAGATCCGACACTGCCCTGGAACAGTTAATGGCAAATACAGTAAACTTCTAAATTTAAACCCCTTCTCTGGCAATGGACGACCTAAAATATGACTGAAATAATATTTAAAGGGATTAAAAACAGCAATAATGCATTATTTAATCTAATTATAACGCCATAACACCAATATGATAAGCTCTACAAGTTTACTTAAACATGTTTTAAAAGACTTTAACGTAATAAGTCACTCACAGCATTATGCAGCTGTACGAACGTTTGCTCTTGAGTCATGGGGTAAGAAAAATTTCCTTACGTTGCTCGTACCACTATATATGTTACATGATAACCGTGGTCCTTCAGAAGAGACAGTATAGTGTGAGATCTCGTGATTCGGTAAGAGTGGAGCAATAAAAAAACTACCTGACTACTCAAAGACCATAAATACCACGATCATACAGATCTAAATGCAGCTCTCTATCAGTAAGTGTAAGTATCTTAATATAATCAAAAATCGCGAAAAAAGTTCAACAAGCAATCAAATGAAAAAGAAACAACCATTTTCACCTACCATTATCTTTACATTAAGAGAGAGAACGTTTATTCATACATTGTACAATTCATCTATCTTGTTGGTTTGGCACTGGGATTATCGTTAAAAAAGTCTATATCATATTATAAGCAAAAGTGTTCTTCGTAACAACTGAATGCATACTTGAAAATAAAAACTTTTCTATAGTCAACTATCTCCTTAATTACATATATGTAGCGTTATACCCTTATCATTTGTATATGGGGTTTATGTCCTCTAAATGATGGAGTACTCGAGAGCATGCATAATGAACGAACAATGAATGTACAATTTCTAAAATAAAGAAATCGTATGGCAAATATGTTGATGAAATAAGCTTTTCGCAAGTGTTATGGTCCAGACGATGACATCAACTAGTCAGCAAATAAAATTAAAGCAATATGAGCTACATTTTTGAAAATCTAACTTTGCTGCTAAAATGTGTTATTGTGATAAATTTGTATGTAATTTAAATCTTTTTGATCAATTAGACTAAAATAAAGCATTAAATTGTTTAAGAGGAATGACTTCTATACAATCGAATATATAGTATTGAATAAGAAATAATTATTGTACAGGACGACAATAATGTGATTTTAATTCAATCAAAGATTATAAATAGTTCTTACATCGCAAATGTGATCAACGAAAGTTTATAAACCTTCTTTTTTATGT